CACTCACTCGATCACTCACTCGATCACTCACTCGATCACACTCACACACACACACACACACACACACACACACACACACACACACACACACACACACACACACACACACACACACACACACACACACACACACACACACACACACACACACACACACACACACACACACACACACACACACACACACACACACACACACACACACACACACACACACACACACACACACACACACACACACACACACATACACACATACACACACATACACACACATACACACACACACACACACACACACACACACACACACACACACACACACACACACACACACACACACACAACACACACACCACACACACACACTCCCTCTCTCCCTCCTTCCCCTCCTTCCCTCCCTCCCTCCCTCCTCCCTCCCTCCCTCCCTCCTCCCTCCCTCTCCTCCTCCCTCCCTAATCCTCCTCTCCCTCTCCCTCTCCATAGCTCTCTCCCTCCCTCCTCCCTCCTCCCTCCCTCCTCCCTCCCTCTCCCTCCCTCCCTCCCTCCCTCCTCCCTCCCTCTCCCTCTCTCTCCCCCTCTCCCTCTCCCTCCATCCCTCCCTCCCTCCTCTCCCTCTCCATTGCTCTCTCCCACTCCCTCTCCCTATGGTAAGGAAACTCTGAAGCAAAATTATGGTGATAAGAGAAAATCTTGTGTTGTTATTTTTGAAGGTATCTCTTTGTTCATCCTCTATCTACCTTTGTAATTAATCTTATCAGTCCCAAGATATATATTCTTCCGTGCCACTTCAGGAAAGCCATTTGGTGCTTGAATCACATCTGGCTATTTGATACATCCGAGCTTAGGGCACGGTGAGTGAATTTTGGAGGCTGATTCTAAATTTTTATCGAAGTTCAGGTTGGGAGGATTAAGAGGTGATAATGTCGAGTGATTATGGATTGGTCTTCACTTATTTGGGTCTGATATTGGAAACAGGTGGAATGAGGAAAATAGATTATCTGTCTAATTGTCCATATGTCAGTCTATGGACCTGTCTATCTGTCTATCAATCTGTCTATCTATGTGTCAATGTCTGTCAGTCAATTTTTGATGTATGTATGTTACATATATATTTATGTATAAGTAATACATTTCCAGATTCTATTGTTGCAGAATTGTTTGTAGGAAATTTGTTTTTGGTTGCATATAATATGATCCTCAGCATTTCTCCTCTGTCACAGAAGATGAAGTTCCTAACACCAGAGCAGAAGAAATTCTATGATGACAATGGCTATGTTGTCATTGATGTCCTGACCAAAGAGGAGACAGATGAGCTGAGCCGGGATTATGATGACATCTTTAAGCGAAAGGCCGATTCTAATTTGGAGGCTACGTGGCAAGGTGACTGGAATAAGAAAGCAGGCACGACGGTGAGTGTTTTTCCCATCTCTTGTCTTGGGGCAAGTAAGGCATGTCCAGACTGCCTTTAGATAGTGAGATGAACTTCTCTTCTTTATTAAGTTTGTGTACTAAATGGTGATTTAGTAGTTTCAGTGACTACCTTTATATTTCGAGATTAACTTTTTGGATTGTTGTGATGTAGTTGATATGTTTAAAAGTTAATGCTTTGGTTTTCAGTGATGCAATTATAAGGTATTATATAACAAAATCCATGTATTTTGTATACAGTAAAGGTAATCCATTACAGCCGTGCTGCAGAATAGTAACAGTTTTGAAACCTTTTCTATTGATCCAAGTAAAGAAAAAAAAAAAAAGGACAGAGAACACAATATATTGATGAGGTATTTTCTTAACCCTTCAGCAAGTACAGTCAATACACGGACTTCAAATGCACTCTGCGGCCTTTACACGCTTGCTACTCCATAAGAAGATGCTTGATGCTTGTGAAGACGTAATGAACACATCAGATATTCTCTTACACCACACCAAAGCACACTTGAAGCCCCCTGGCACTGGATCTCCATTTCCCATGCATCAAGTAAGGAAGTGTTGACGAGACAGGTTTGAAAGAATTTTTTTTCCTGTTTTATTGTTTCTGGTGATTTGGTTTTAGCATTTTGATGTGGGTCTTAATGATATGTAGAAATGAAATTGAAAATGATTTTAGAAATAACACTTATAAGACCTATGATGAAAATGATGATAGTAATTATGATAATGATGCAGATACTGTTTATATTACTAGTAACAGTGATAATGATATTGAAGATGATAATGCTGGTAATTATTTGATTTGACATAATGGTAGCATTTTGTAGTGAGTAGTAGCAAATATAAAGAAAATAAATCATTGACTCATCCATAAAAAACAGAGAAAAAAAATCATATAAATGATATACTTGGGGAAAAAGAGTAGAAAAAAATACTGATACAAACAATTCCAGCAGAGCAAAGCCACCTAAGTATTCCACATTACTTTCAGGACTACCACTACTTCCCCTTTAAGAATGACTCAATGATAGCGGTCTTTGTGAGCTTGGATGACGCTGACCCCCAGAATGGAGGGCTGTGCGTGTACCCTGGTTCGCATAAGCTTGGACCTCAGGAAGACTGCAGCAATGTCCCTGGATGGCACTACCTCAGCCAGGAAAAGTTTCCCATAGAGAAAGCAACACCACTTACCCTAAAAAGAGGACAGGTAGGTTATCCTCTGAGGCAAGGAAGGTGTATTTGGTTTAGAAATTAGAAGCGAGTAGATGGTTTTCTTCTAATGTGATGATGGTATCCTTGATTTAGATATTAGAAGTGAATAGGTGGTCTCCTTGTAACATAGTGAAGGTGTCCTTGCTCTAGAGGTTAGGAATGAGTAGATGGTCATCAAGAGTGGTGTTTTGGGTGTAAAGATTAGATGTAGGGATGTGGTGTCTAATGCGGTGGATGTGTATTTGACTTTAAAATTAGATCTGAATAGGTGGTCAGTGGAATGGAAGGTAACCTTAATGTAGAGATTAGAAGTGGATGGTGTTCTAAAGCAAGTAGTGGATTTGATATGGAAATTAAGAAGGGAGTGGCTGGTTTTACTGTTATTTAGAGTCTGGAAATTTAGAGTTTTTTTTTAGGCAAATGACGGGTCTGTCACAATAATTTGTAGCTAGGGCTAAGCCGATCCACTCATTGCGAGTCATGATGCATATACATGTTATAGGCCATTTTGTCAGGATGGCTATAGCCGTGCGTGGAATTAAGGGGATGTTTATTAGTCATCAGATGTTGTAACTCTATTCCTGTACACTTAGATACTTTCTTTTTTTGTAGGAAATTTATAATTAATTTGTAGGAAATGTTTTGTGTTTTATGTTAATGTACATCAAGGGAGTATTGATAAGGTCTTTGATACCAGGATTTTCTATTTGTTTGTAAAGGAATGAATACTTTTGACCATATCAATATTTTTCATGCAGTTATGATATAGAAAAGGAAAAGAAAGAGAAGTCGGACTCATACCCAGTGATATTTCCTTCCAGGTGGTCATTTTCTCGTACCTGCTTATTCATGGTTCGTATGACAACACCAGTGACAGGGTCCGCCGCATGTTCCTCATCCAGCTCATGGCTGCCGATGATACACCCATGGCCGATATGCACAGATCATCGTGCCAGAAGATGGTGTTGCGTGGGAAGTGCTTGTGGCGACTCGCGGATGTCACAAAACGCTTTGAGGATTAGAGCATTACAACTAGAAGTCTATGAAGATGTAGTGACTATTCAGCACGTGGTTATTTGTAGTTTGTATACTGTGATTGAGAAGGCATTGTTGAGCTTAAGTTTGTTTTTATTGTTATTATTTTTAGTATTTTACTTTTTTAACGTATTTCATATATAATTTTTTTTTTTCTTCTTCTTTTTTTTATAGGTAATTGCAAGATGGATAGGTTATCAAAAATTAGCTCTAATTCATTTTACTTAATGTACATAAGGTACATATGATTGGAACACTTTTTTTATGGTTAGCTTTAACCATTCAACCTTTTTTTTCTTTTTTTTATTACAGGATCATCCCATCCAGTTTGTTTTCCATGCCACAAAATAGACCTGTAATTGTGAACTAAATGTGATAAAAGATTTTGATTGGGTTTCAGCATAAATTTGTGCCTTAAAAAACAATTTGGGTGCAGATTTGATGTTTTCACCATTAAACTTCTTAACTCACCCATGAATTTAGGGGCAATTTATAGATCTATACATAGGACTCTCCCTGGACCTGCAACACCTCCAAGACGCTGGTTCAGCTCAGAATGGAAGGTGTTAGAGAGCCGCGCTAGAAGCTGGTTTATACCTAATCTTCTGGCACAATCGTCAAGGGGCTTCTCAGCTTCAGGGAGAGCACGTAAAGACTGATTTACCATATGGCCTTTGATATAGGTTCCAGTAACCTTGTTTAAAAGGTAGAAACAACCTTGCTCTCACGTGTGATTTGGACAAGGCTTTGGGTTTGGCCAGAAGTGTTTCTATGTGGCCAGCCTGTATGTGGCAAGAGGGTTAATAGTACAATTGTTTTATATAACTTGTTGGTCATTTGTGCTTATAGTATGTGCATAGCCTTTTATCATTAGTTTTTTTTAATAGAAACTAGGATATTTACTTTTATTTGTGTCATTGATATCATAACTTTCTAAACTGCAACCTAAAATGAGGGATTCCTAATAAGTACTAAAAAGTTGTAGTAATGTTGTATTGTAGATTTTTAAACACAGTTTGAGATAGATGTGTCAATGGACTTTTATCAAGAATCACAAAAGTACAAGTACAAGTTTGTGCCATATGTAGATTAGGCTAATGTAGCGTACATTTATCTCCTTCTTGAATATTTTAATCTTACTAACCCTTAAATTCTGCATTATAAACCTCTTACTAACATTATCTCCTACACAGGAAAAGGTTTTATATATGATTTGTGCAATATACAGGTTTAACTAACCCAATGATGCTGGTAGTATGTATACATGTTCCTACTAACATATTTTATGGTTAACCTTTGATTGATATATGATTTTCATATATAAAAAATATGTTTATACCAGAATGTTAACGAGAATATAGGTGATGATTGTATGCCACTATGTATACTAGCCATATTACAATGTTTGAATATGTATAGTTTTGCGGTGAATATTGCAAAGATTTATTATGGTTTTTGATTGGATTAATTTCAGATAATTGTATATGATAGAAAAAAAATACCATTTTATTTGAAAAAGGTTGTAAGTTAGTTTAGGTAATTATTTGAAAATACAGCTCCTTTAGGGCAGCAGATTAAGTAAAAAACTGGAGAAACCAAAGTACAAATAAATTAACAGGAGATCTAAATAATTTTGAATAATTTATGGTATATAGAAGAATCTTCTATTAGAGTATGTAAAAGATATATACGCAGCTAAGAAATCTAGCCATCCAGCTCATGTACAAATGACAAAAACAAAGGTTCCAATAAGCAATATTTTGTTATGATTAAGACAAGATATGCATGTGGTGTAATATTGATGTATGACTTAAATGCATTATGTTGCAGTTATGGTAACAAAGGTTATAATCTTTTAGGATTTTTTTCTTCTTCTCTTTTTTAGTAGGTTGTCACACTTTGCTGGTGCTGTTATGTTGACTTTTTATTCAGATTTTATGTTTTATGAGGAAACAGAGGAGAAACTCATAGTCTTTTATTTAAACCTTGATATTTTAGTTAGCAAAGTCTGATTTTATGAAGGTAAATCATATGAAATACGATTTCATCAAAGGTATAGTAAATTATAAAAACAAGTTTTTGAAGGTAAATCATATGAAATACGATTTCATCAAAGCTTTGAAAAGCTCAATTTAACAAAGCCACTAACAGAGTGAGAAGTTTGTTAGTTGGTACTTTTGACACTAAACCTAATCATGATGAGAACCCCCAGTGCAATACCAAATAATGCATCACATGCAGAGTCAGCTGCTTGAGGGAAAATCAGAAGCAAACGAACAAAATTACCCCACTCTCTACCCCCTTGGCTACGGTATAAACAATTTTTGAGATAACAGCTAAAAAGGAGCTTTAACCAAACATTTGAGTAGCTATTTCTCCACATCAAATGCAACTATTGCCAAGTCAATTTTTTAGCATGTACAACATACAGCAGGCTTAACAGGGCATTATGTGAAGAAGTTTCCCTGGCACAAAGAGTGGTTTCTCACGATGTAATAAGACGTCATCCTGGCATGAATGGGTTAGAGAGATGAATTCTTCAATAAGTTCGCATATGTTGCTTTCGACACCAGTAGATTTTCTCAAATGAAAGCTTTTGCTAATAGAAAGTGAGCACTGTGCATATTCAGACCTTGGACATTTAATACTGAATGAGTTGTGAGGAAATTACATCTATGGCAGTAGAATGGATATAGATTTAGAGGAAAACAGGACTTGAACTTACAAATTTCTTTCTTGTTGCATATATTTGTCACATGTTTAAGAGTTTCCGCAGACCAGTACTCAAGAAAAGAACACAGATAGTTTCAAAAACTGCATCCTGAAATTCATCTTAAAAGAAGTCTATCTCTACCCATTGCTATGTGAAGTCTATAAAACTATATTGAATTACTGCCTGAGACACTACATAGCAAAAAAACTAAAATAAAGATGACAATAATGAAATATAATGATAATGATTTAATTATAACAACAATAACAAACAAGAACAACAGCAAAGACTAATAACAGCTTTAGAAATAATAATAATAATAATGATAACAGCAACAATATTAATAATGATAATAATAATAATAATAACCAACAACAGCAATAACAATAATGACAAGTATAGTAGTAGTAATAATAATAATAACAGCAACAATGACCAAATATATAAAAAATAAATATAGATTAATAATAATAATTAAAGATAATAATAATAATAATAGTCAATAATAATAATAATCAAGATAACAATAGCATGAAAATAGAAAAAATATAATAACAACAATAATGGCAATAATACTAACAGCAATGATAATGATAGTAATAACAAAAATGATGAATATTGATGATGCTGATTATAATAATAATAATAATAGTAATAATAATAACATCAATAATAGTGATAATGAAAATGATATTAATGACAATAATAATAATTATTATAATGATAATAATAATAATAATGTACATTATCTGGAGGATAATGAGTTATGATAATAATGATAATAATATAAAACAATAATAAGAACAGTGGCAATAATAGCAATATCATATGAATAATAATTATGAATATAATGATAACAATGATGATGATTATTATTATCATTACCATTACTTTTATTGTCACCATTATTATCAAGATTACTATTATCAATATCATTGTTATAATAACAAAAAGAAAGTCAACAGTAACAAGTGATGATCATAATAATAATAATGAATAATAAATAAAATAGATCATGCGAGAGATAACAATTTTTGTAGGAATGAAGTATTTAAATTTTTTCATCTCAGTAACTTCAGACGATAATGCTGCAATCTTATTTTGTC